TAATAAAACAAATAAATAAACAAACAAACAAACAAACAAATAAATAAACAAACAAACAAACAAACAAATAAATAAACTGGTTGATTGATTGCATGATTATATGCCATCAAGTCATTTTTAACTCATAGTGACTTTCTCCGAGACAGTCTATATCTAACCTGTACCTTCAGGCCTCCCAGCGGTACATTCATTTCCATTGTAACCAAGTCCATTCATTTGGCTACTGTTTATCCTCTTTTTGTCTTTCCATCCACCTTTTCCAGCATCAGAGCCTTCTCAAGAGCGCTGGATCTTTGCATAATAGTGTCCAAAGTAGGATAATTTGGACCTGTCTCTATGTGCCACGAATGAGAACTCTGGGATAACTTATTACTTGTTTGGGGGAGGTGGCTTCCATCAAGTAGCATAGTTATTTGCCAGCCAAATAGCATAGACAGTTAGTTTTCATGCCATTATGAAACATTTGGGCAGGAGCTGCAGAACAATTTTGTTTTTGGAAAATTCTAGATGCCAATGCAGCAATTTACTGCATGATTACTCATCAGTACAATTCTTAAATAATTATTCAATATTTTATTTCTAGTTGCTGTGACTAATGCTCTTTAGATTCAGCACTACTTGTTCTTAAGGAAGCATAGAAGTTTGTGTGTGTGTGTGTGTTTGTGTGTGTGTGTGTACTTAAAAGTGAGTTCTATTGGGGTCAATGACATAGCATACGCTGCCTGAAAATCTTATAAATTTTTGTGGGGAAATGATGGCAGTTAGCCATTTCTTTCAGCTTTTCCTGGCATTGTTGTAAAGATGCTTTATCTGAAATCAGGCCACAATCCGAACCTTTTTGAACACAGAAATTAAGCTATCTAAGACCATTGACCTAGATTCAGCTTGGATCCTCCAAATCATGAGATAGAAACATCACTGCTATATGCTTATTCTGTGAAAAAAAACATCATTTCATGGAGAACTTTATGTTTCCCTATGGCTTTGTGTATTTAAGTTGCCTGACCTACATTCCCTTGGTGTTGCTTTATTTGAATGTGAATCAAAGTAGGCAATTTGCTAGCAGTGGATATTTTGAACTGGTAGTACCGACAACAAAGTATGTCACTGAATGTATTCATGACACACCCTTTATATTTGCGATTTGTTTAGATACAAACAATATAATAAAAGCATCAGGCCAGGTACCAACACCAATTTGTTTTTCAGGAGAGAGGGACTCTCTGTCTTTGCTTCAGTTGAGATGGGTGGACTGATATACAGACAGATTTTCTCCAGGGGCAAAACAATGAAATTTGAAGGAAATTGCCTTCTATTCTACTCTGCTCTACTCTACACTCTACACTATTCTACTCTACTCTACACTACTCTACACTACTCTACACTACTCTGTTCTATTCTATTCTGTTCTATTCTATTCTTGATAAATCCCTGGTCTGTCTAAATACAAGGCACTGTTGCTAAAAAGAACTAGGGATTTTTAGAGTTTGGGCTCCTGATTCTTCATCCTCATCCTCTTCTAGCCATTGGATACTCATTGCAGGATGAAGACCTCTTCCGCATTGATTTCCAATCAATACAGTCTTGGCTTTCCCTTACCAGTTGGGCCTGCAATACTTGCTGATGTTGTTGCTCCACCTTATTTTAGATCTCTTTTGTGGATGTTTTTTATCAAGTGCAATCCATTCTATGACTGCCTTAGTCCACCTGCCATCAGTTCTTGATATGTGACTAGGCCATTTCCA